CCCGGAAACCAACTAGCAACATGAAAAAAAACCTTAGCAACCACACAGTACACACTGGAAACCACCTAGCAACATGAAAAAAACCTTAGCAACCACCCAGTATACCCTGGAAAAAAAAAACCCACCCAGAAGCCGCAGAGCATCACCCTAGCAATGGCCCACAGCACTACTCACATTATCTTCACTAAATCCAGTCACTGTACTGTAGTGATCTAAACAAAAGGTGCGTGTGCTTTTTCCAGAAGCCGTAAATTAGTCAAGAATCATCAGTTATGCCCGGACGTAAAGTGTGTGCGATGGCGGTGTAATAGAGTGTAAGGACGTGGAGAAGTGCTCATCTGAGAGGGAACTCTTTCATCGCTGACTCTGCTTCTGAAGGATAGCGTGGGATGGTCTTAATCTTCCCTCTCCATTCGCTCGCACAGAATGGAAAAGGTGCATTTTGTCATCCGTTAGCTCTGAATGAACTGATTTTTTTCTCTGTAGAGGTGTATTTTTGCAGTGCCGGGTAATTGGCACTGCCGGCCAGTTCAAATATTTACTTACAGTGAAGAATAGCTTTATATAAACCATGTGCGGCTGCTCTGGCACACTGCAGCTCTATATTTAACCAGGCTGGGCTGGTCTGGATCAGGAAGAAAAACAGTTCAAATACTAGATCCTCATGACTGGCACAAGGGAAAACATTTGGTCAAGCAGCAGCAGCTTGAATTATCCATCTTGACATCAGGTGGCTGTTTGTAACACACAATATTATGCATTAAATAAATTTAATTGGCTTTGCTGGTGGCTGCGTCCCTGTGTCCTTCTGCAGCCACACAGCCAAACCTCTAGATGGCGACTCTACAGGAACAACGCTCAGCAGAAGACGGCGTTTGTTCACCTCCGAGCAGCGGCAGCAGTGTAAACAAACAGAGGAGGGTCGGAAGCATTTAGTGGAATTCTCTCTTAAATGTCATGTTGCTATATTAATAAACAAATATATTATGACGTTTTTGGATTCATTTATGATTTGTTCGATCAGCCTCACCGCTCTCATTAGCAGCTTTAGCAATCAGACTCTGCTACATTCATTTCTAGTGGATTTTACATTATGAAAAAATAACGAGCTGAAATCAATGTGACTGATTCTATTTCACAAAGCTTGTTTTATCAGCTATCGAGTCCCAGTTAAACTTAGAAGACTTAATGATGCGCATCAGAAAAGAGCACAATTATATATATATATATTTACACTCCCGGTCAAAAGTTTGGGATCAGAACGATTTGTAATGTTTTTACAGGAGTGTCTTCTGCTCATCAACGCTGCATTTATTTGATCAAAAATACAGAAAAAAATATAATATTGTGAAATATTATTACGATGTAAAATAATGTTTTTCTATTTTAATATACTTTAAACTGTAATGTATTTCTGTGATGTGCAGCTGTATTTTCAGCATCATTCCTCCAGTCTTCAGTGTCACATGATCTTCAGAAATCAGTATAATATGCTGATTATTATCAGTGCTGGAAAATATTGTTTTGGAAGCTGTGATACTTTTTTTTCAGGATTCTTTGATGAATAAAAAGTTAAAAAGAAGAGCATTTATTTAAAATAGAAATCTATCTTTATAACATTTATATTTTTGGCACACAATGCAGAGCATACAACTAAAATATGTGTTCTTTAATAAATTAGCCCTGGCTGTAACATAGGTGTTTCACCGTAACGAAACAGTGACGCCAAAACCACAGTAAGTACCGAACCGTGAGAACTGTTACACCCTGATGACTTTACACAACTTCATACTTTCCTCTGATGGCTTGAAAACTCCTGATTACAGATTGCACGTAGATGTAGACCTTGAATAAATTGTTTCCTAAATAATGAATGTACAATGTTAATTTGAACTACATTATCTATAGTTGTGTAAACGCTTGAGCTGTGAAGAGAGGGCCTGTGAAACGGGAGCTGGATGTTAAGGAAGAGCCTGACGAAACAAACACAAAAACATGAAAGCTGAAGAGAGCTTATGCTGAGCCAACAGACTTCCAAAGAGCAGGATTAACTCGTGTTGAGAGGTGGACTTATTCACAGCTCAGCAGTAAAACAGCTGCTCAAACACACACATACAGTGAGACACACTCACGCACCCTTTAACACCCTCACCATGAATCACCTGGACTAGAAAAACCAACAGTGGAAAATGTCCTGAGGCTCCAGAGAAACTCTGAACTGAACTGAGCTGACAGATCCATCAACAGACGTTTCCTCCAAACACAGTCATTCATCAGGAGCTGCCACACACACACACACACACACACACACTCACGCACACACGCACACACGCACACACTCACGCACACACGCACACACGCCCACACACACACACACACACACACACACACACACACACACACACACACAGAGTCAGACACAAGCAAACACAATAAGAAATATTATTACAATTTAAAACAGCTGATTTCTATGTGAATATATAGTAAAATCTATTGCTTGTGTCACTTTTGTTGAAATCAGCTGCGGGTCGAGCGTGCGGAGCATTATTTGTGTGACGCAGGAGGTTGCTGTTCATGTAAAGCGTCACTTATTAGGCTCCATTTGCACTTCATTTAGGATCCTGAGGTAGAAGATCTGTCTGGGTTTTCAAGCAGAGCTGTGGTACCATCTGAGCCTTGCAAATTAGTCAGGTTTAATGAGATTAATGTGTGCTTTGTGGAGCGCTAAAAGAAAACAGCTCCCTTGCAAATGCACTAATTTTCTAAGCTTTTCTGCTGCTCATAAATGAGCACATCTAAGCCAGAGAGGACTTTGTAAATTCATAAAGGAAAAATGGCTGAAGATTCTTTCCCTCTGAGAGGATCTCCATTTGTCATCATGTACGATGAGCTTCACGCTCAGGTTCATATGAGGCGGGAGGAGAGAGACAGAGAGGAACACAGAGCAAAGACAAAAGCAGCAGCAGCGAGAGAGCAGCACAGGTCTCACACGCTGCTGCTCTTTGGTCTTTGTTTCTCAGAAGGGCTCTTCATGGAAGCTGAAAGATCAGCCATTAGACGGCCAGAGAAAGAGAGCATCCTCACACAAGAGCCTCCGACCTGTCAAAGGCAATTCTGTGAAGTACAGCCAAGCAACTGCCTCAAGGAATTATGGGATGTCAGTTTTTCCCAGTAACCTGACAGAGACAAATATAGATTGCTTAGAGCTGAACTCTGCATTTCCCTTCATTGCAAACGTCACGTCACGAGAGCTCAACAAAAGGCCCAAGTTTCACGTCTGCTGCACAGATTTACTGCAGAAAGGTGAAAGAAGGCAAAACAGCACGTGTGCTACTGAAAGACGGAATTAAATCAGCCAAAACAGCGAATAACAATCACATGAGGAGTGTGTTTTACTGTTGCTTTTGTTCTGTGCAGATCAGTGCAGTTTTCTGCGTGTGCTGGGAATTCTTTCATGAACTCTGCAAATGGAGCAAATTCACTAAACAATGGTATGTCTGCTTGTAATTCACTAACTTCCTGCGAACTAGAGAAAGCATGTGCAATCAGTGCTGAAACAGCATCGTGATACGGTGCGTGAGTATTTATAGAGTCAGTCTCATTCATTTTCATGCAAACAGGCCTCTTTTCCATTTCAATTAGACTCAGTACAGACTAGAGATTAAACTATCCAAAATTATCATGTTATCAGTATTGTAACGGTATTGTTCAAATGTGCTGGACATCTTCAAAAACTACTGACACATAAATTTACACCAGGCCATGTAAATTCGGTCCGTCTTTTGGCCAGACAAAAGCTGCACACAGGCTGAATGTAAATGTAACTCTCTGACAGCAGGTGGCGCACATGGAGCAGCAGAATTAGAGCTGTTTCCCGTAACCTCCGTGCACAAAGCATTGCGATTAAGAACACTTATTTACTAGGAATTACATGGCATTAGTTAATTAGTCACTTTACAGCTGCTGCTATCATAAAACACACTCACTTGTAGGTACAAAATTCTACACATGGCACATTTATATTATATATTATACACATGTCCAACTATAAATATTTTAGCCATAATCCGTCTGTTTGACGCACATGTGAGTGGCGGCAAAGTAAGTCTATGGTGTTTAGTGGAGAATCACATGCAGAAGGCTCGTGCACTCCTGACTTTCTAACATTTACAGATGGAGAATATACGGTGTTGTGCAAAAGACTCAGGCCATTAGTATTTTCACCAAGCAAAAAATGGTTTCTTTTGCTGTAGCGTCAGTAGAAAACATGACATGGTGACATGAAGAAACAGAAAAAACTAAGACAGACTAAATCCTGAAGAACTGTGGCAACGTCTCCAAGATGCTTGAAGAAACCTTCCTGCAAAGCTACAGTGCTGTGAGAAGTTTTAGGCATTTGTGTAAAATGCTGTAAAGTGAGGATGCTAATGTCATAAATAGATTGTATTGATCAATTAACTTCCATTAACTAAATCAAATGTTGTGTATAAGGCCAGATCTCTCTGTTGTAGACATAATTATGATACATATAATGCATGTAACCTGTGCACCAAGAGAGAAAACTAAATATAAATAACATTTATTTTCTTTCTCTGTCACAAACAATGCAATATCAATATTTACCCACTGTATGTGTACATATATTAGGGCTGGGTAAAAAATATTGATTTCTTGATTTTAATCAATTCTCATTTTTATTAAAAGATATCGATTCATAAATCCCAAGAATCGATTAGTGTAGCCAGTTTTCAGTTCATGAAGGGAACATTGTTGTGCCTCCCGTCCAATAAATCGTAATAAGCTTTGTGCTTTATTACTTTTGATATGAAACAAAGTCTCAGATTTCAAATTCTGTCCATTTTATTACAATATTCAAATAGTAAATGCCGTTTTGGCGCTGTTTAATGTGGAGTGACAGATCATCTCCTCAGCTTTAACAGCAGTTACAGCACGAAATAAACATGAGTGAACATCCGAAGGTGTTAAAAGAAAGAGTACAGCTTACCGAAACCCGTCTCCTGTCTCATGTAATCACTTGATCAGTGTTTCAAACGCAGAAAGACGACAATAGCTTAAACAACGTGTCACGTAATGTCACATTTACCGAAGAAACCCATGAACTCATTAGTCAGCTAGAAAAATAAACTCTAGAGAGGAGCATTTTGATAAATATGCACCATATAACATATTCATTATCATTTTCACTGTTCTTCAGTATTCAATTTATGTCAAAATCTGTCAAGTTTTTGTGACAATCACCATTTAAATGTTTATATTTCAAAAAATGAATTGGAGTAGATATAAAATGATGTAATTTAAAATTAAAGTTAGTATTATAACTTTAATATTACAAAAACTTTATTGAGTATATTTTACATGTTTGTATACATATCAGCAAATTTCAACCTTCCATATTATTGACTCTCAGGTATATTTTACAGCATTGTTGAGAAGTTTTATTTTCCTTGAGAAAATTTGACATGTCCTGTACTTGATATATATCCAAAATAACCCATATCAAATAGCATGCTTGTAAAGGATAATTGAATCGATTTGTGAAATTTGGGTCAAAACCCAGTACTAATATATATATATATATATATTTGGTCTGAACAAAAACAGCAGATGGGCTGAATGAAAGGGCAAATTCATTCATTAGATGGCGGTTAAGGAAAAGCAGAAATATAGCAGTTAGTCCAGTACGCAAAAGCATTACACAAAGTTAAAACTCCTCGGATCAGCCTGAATCAGGTGAGTGGCCTATTTCAATGTCAGAAAGGTGAAGGCAACGAGTCTGCAGGTCTGACTTCTGCATCTGTGGTTTAGTAAAGCAGACTTTCGTCATGTTTCAGAGATTATTCAGGTGTTGCTGTGTCAGATAACACCGGTCTGCTGCTTCCTCCACTATACAGAGCTCTGTACCTCACAAGATCTCTAATGTGCTGGAAAACTGTACTCCGCACACATGCTGCGGGCATATTTGAGTGAGCATGTTACAGTCAGAGTACACGTACAGTATCCAGTCAATACTGTAACATTTGAGAGTGAATCTCAGAAAACATGATCGAGGCACATTTCATGCAATATTTTGAAGAAATTAGGAACATAAAGCTGTTTTCAAGATAATTATATTATGCAATGCAAAAAATATATATACTATTTACACTATAAATTTCATCTGCCTTTAATTTGTCTAAATCTGGTGGAATCCAGAAGAGTTCAGGGGGCATTCCTGAAATCTGGCCCTGTCTGTCCATCACACTCAGTGATTATGTGTGGATTAAGGCTCTGACTCCTATCATGTGAAGCTCATGAAGCAAGAACAGGAGCTCCACACCAACATGAAGCACTGCAATGGACCAGGGCCTGAAATTAGTTTCTGAAAATGAGGAGAACTGCCCTGTTATGCGAGACCAACCCAATCTCATGAGAAAACATAGTGTTTTACAAGGTGTCAATTTCGTATGGATTTGTACAATGTTATTGATATGAAAACACATGATTTTTTAGGAACACGTAAGAATGAAGGTCCAGCCCTAGACCTAACCCTCAGTGGGGCGTGTGCAGATCGTACAAAAACGTATGAATGAGATCATACTAACCGATATGAATTAGTAATTGTACAACACGGTCATATTTTGTACATGCAATGTAGGTAGTTATATTGTAAATGACAAAAAATAAAATAATAATTTAATTTCAACAAATTTACGGTCAATAGAGATGCTGCAGTGTTGTATCCCCCATGTTTTCTGACTAACACAATTCAGTCTTTCCTACAGGAATGCAATAGCCTACATGCGGAGCAAGGACTTTTGATTGTGAACTTTGAATTCTTTTGTCTAAAAATTGAAATTTAAAAAAAAATCAGATAACGTTTTGTGTGGTTCGCCAAACCTTATCAAGGTTATTTTACACACACATCATTATTTTACACACTCAAGATATATACTGTGCAGTCAAGTGATTGTCTGTCAGATGTGTGCTGACTGTGAAATTCTGATGAGTCGATGAAGAGTGACTCACTAGGAACTTGTGGATCGCGAATCAATGTGTGTGGGAATTTCCTGCATTATAATCATAAAACTTGCATGAATGAGTCAAGCTATGCATAATATCATAAATTCAGGCTGTGCTGGACTGAATGAGACTGTGATTGATGGAGCTTCTTTACGCTGTGATTATGCATTCATCCCTTCAGGGCTTGTTCATGCACAGCTTCAGTCACAAACACATTTACACTCAATAAACAAACTATACTGCCTCCCGTCCCAATAACCACGATGACTGATATTACAATCAGTACTGAACACAGCACCCTAGAAATCACTTTGCTGTCTGTATAGAGCTGATGAGCTGTTACTGGGGCACCTATAACACTTTAACTGCTGTGGAGGATTCAGGCTCATATTTGTTGTCATTTTATGTCACTGAAAAGGTTAAAAAAAAGACCAATCGATGACAAACTCCACCTGGTCAGTTCCTGCAGGGCATAAACACAGTGAATGTACAGTGGCCACAAAACGCCACTTGATTGGTTCTGAATAAATCCTTAATCAATGACAGACTGCAGCCACAAAATGATCAAATCTCACACACCGCTAGCATTGTCACTATCAGAGTCTCTCTTCCAGTGTCATGAACTGAAACTCAGGATTTCAGACAGGACTCAATATGACCATTAATAAAGAGTGTGAAGCGAGAACTCAATGTACAGACAGTGATCTACATACACATCTCATCCAGAGTCTAATGAGTTCACTGAGGAGTCAGACAAAGGACCAATATTAGCGTCATTTAACATTTCCAGGAAATAGGGACAGAGCATTTGTGAAGATGTGTGTTCAGTTTCCTCTAATTACATCTGTCAAATGTAACGAGTCTATCAGAGGACATTACAGAGCCCTGCAGAAAGTGCTTCTGTGAATTACCATGTGTTTGAGTTTGACTTTTACAGCACACAGTAATGGTTGTATAAAGCGTCACAGAAATCTCTCTAAATGGACCTATGCAAAGCCACGCTCATGATTAGCATGAAGCCAAAAGCGCTCAGTACAGCACGTGTGTGTGTGTGTGTGTGCGCGTTTTTGTGACAAATGAGGACATTAAAAGCGCTCAGTACAGCACGTGTGTGTGTGTGTGCGCGTTTTTGTGACAAATGAGGACATGATTTGTATAATGACAAAGGTATGGCATAGGTAAGGAGAAGGTGACTTTTCAGGACATTACCCCATGTCCCCACTTTTCAAAACACTTATAAATCACACAGAATGGAGTGTATTGAAAATCTGAAATAGCAGAAAGTCTCCTGTGAGGGGTAGGTTTAGGGGTAGGGTTGGTGTAGGGCAATAGAATATACGGTATGGCACTCATGACCGCTGATTACTTATGACTGACATTTAATTCTAGATTAAACAAACCAGTTCATTCTCTATGAAAATCAAAGACATCTCATCAATGATGTTTTAAAGTCAGCATGAAACAACATTCAAAGCCATTTTAGAGACAAAAGTGATGGTCATAAGAACAGGGAAGTCATTTTATAAGGAAAGCAAGTTGTTAGTTTGATGAATGATACTAATTGACCCAAAAATGAAAAATGAGCTGAAAATGTGCTCATCCTCAGGGCATCCCAGATGAGTTTGTTTCTTCATCAGGTTTGTAGAAATGTAGCACTGCATCAGTGTCTCTGCAGTGAATGGGTGCCGTCAGAATGAGAGTCCAAACAGCTGATAAAAACATCACAATAATCCACAATTTGAGCACGGCATGAACTTATGTCTCATTATATTGTGTAGTAGCATAAGTAAGAGTAATATTTAGTTCAGGAGGTTCAAAAGACTGATTCACTCAACATTTGAGTCATCATGCAGTGGTGTTCCCAGAAGTGCCTGCGCAGCACGGTCTGCGAAATGAGAGAAATATTTCACTAAACGCTGCGGTTTAATGACTGAGTCAGACATTAGGATGTTCATTAGATTAGTGTGTTCAGGCACATCTGATGCTGTCATCTGGAGGTGTTGCACAAGATCAATGCTGTAATCTGCACGCTTATAGTGCTCCCTTGATGAGCTGGTTTAGCTGCTAGTTGTTAGTAGCTCTGCCCAACGCTGCTTTACAGAATTTCATTTCACAGTTGAAAATTATCTCTTATTTCATGTTTTTACATTTTTTTCAGAAGTGTATTATTTCTGTCATTAATTTTTCTTGCAATAAAGAGCTCGATTATAACTTATAGAAGCGTAGTTTGCAAGGTGGGTTCATGCCACATTCACAAAGCAAGATACCTAAAAATAAACCCAACTGAAAAACAAAATATTTGCTTGAGATTTATGTTTACTATTATCATCATCACTGCTCCATTAAAAAAAAAAGCTTAAATAGCATCCCACATTAAAGAACCATTTTAAAATAAATAGCATCCTTTATTTTTATTAATTTATTTAATATGTTGTATTTGTAATTGAAATGTATGTTTTGCAAATAAATAAATGTTGGTTTCCATGAAACACCGCTAACAAATATCTTACATGTCTTGTGCTTATATAACAGCTGACTTTCAGATTCCCCTTATTATGATATTAATCCAGTTAAGTTGACCATTTATCAGATGCGGCTGACTCTAAAGAGCAGACTGCGCTCTCGTGTGTTTGTATCTTTGGTATCTTCTAGCGAAGTCCTCATATAGAGGCAGGGCTCAATGATTTCCACAGCGCGGAAAACTGAACCGCGGAATCCAGTCATAAAAACAGAATTACTGTATAATGCAGAATGTTATGGAACTTGGCATAATTTGGATGGTCTGTACCCTTAATCAAACGGTGATCTGGACGAGTGTCTCTGAGTATTAAAGCACAGAAAGACTGCTGTGTAAGTCTGCATGCTGAGTGTGTGTCGGCTTGCTCTACTGTGACGCTCGTCTGCAGCTCATCTCATAACTTCATCTCCAGAGTCACACCGTTTGCTTTGAGCAGATACACACAAAACCTCACTGATCTTCACGATCACCCGCCAAAAGAATTACCTTCATGAACAAGTATTAACTTGAACAAATTATGACAAATATATAACTATTGAA